ATAGTGTATAGTAGTTTGAAAATAAATAAGCTCATGAAGGGTTATCAGAAAACAAAGCTGGCAGCATAGAAACATTAGATGTGGAGCTCAAGCATGGTTGAGACGCATGAAAATGATCGTTCGGCATCACAGCGAAACAATTTTGTCTCGTGAAAGTTCATGAGGGGTGAGAAGTTCAAAGTTCAGAAGACAGAAGATGGCTGCACGGCTGATGTTTACACACTCCTCAGATTTTTTTTTTTTAGCATTTTTTATGCTAAAGGAACAAAAAAAACCTGCCATTAAAATGGATTTTTATTTTCTTTGCTTGCGCGTAATGTTTTCCATTGAGAAAATCAAATGGAGAGACTCGGGGGTGAGGAGAGTGACAGTGCCCCCAACATTATGGCACACAATCAGTGATGTCCTGGAGGTTGAAGAGATGACAGAATTAGGAAAAGCAGTTTATGAGAGGTAGCCAGCCGTGTTTTACTGTGTTAATCCAGGTCTTGCTTTTACTGCTCGCTTTTTGGGTAATGTTGAGGCGTCATGACTGACATCATGTTATGGAGAAACATGCTGGCTTCATGGGTGCGTCCAATGGATGTCCAACATACAAGAGAACTCAAAAAGTTTGGAATGGTACTGTTTTTGTTTGGCACTCAGGAGAAAGTCTGGGAGGGTGTGAGGGGGAGGTCGGCAGAAGAGTGGGGAGTGGTTGGAAAAAAGGGGAGCAGTGAAAGTGCAAAAGGGAGAAAAAGGGAGAGTAAACAGGATACATATGAATGACATTTTTGTTATACTTGGTCTAGGTTAGAGAGTGTCGTACAAATAAAAACAGGAAAATAAAAAAGAGAACAGAACAGTGATATGACAAATGTATTCTAACATTGCTGGTGCTATAATGGGTACGAGCTCAAGAGTGACCCCGGGTTGTCATCTTCTGATGGCGTGGGGGAGCCGGGGGTGGGGTTGAACTGGTGGCGTGTGGGGTTTGGGAAGAGCGATGAGCTCTAGCTGTGCGCCCACATAAAAGCAATGACCCTCTCGACATCAGCTAAACCATAAGTTTGCATTCATCTCAACTTGACCGTGTGAGAAACTACTAGACGCGTGCACAAAAACACAACTGCGCCATCTCCTCTACGCACAAAAAAACATAGCAACCATGACTAAGCACAGTGCAATTTTGATATTGAAGTCTCAGCATGGCCTTAATAGAGAGAGAGAGAGAGGAAAAAACAACAACATGCCCTTTTTTGGCACTTATCATTAATAGTAATAATAAAAAACACTGTCAAAATAACGATTTCTGTAAAAACTATTCTGCTGTTTTTGGTCAGCTTCGAACATCTGGCCAATCCTTTCTCATGCAAACATTGCGTTATGACGTCATCGGGAAGTCCCGCCCCTTTCCTTTATTCGTGGAGGTCTGAGGTAAAGGATTCAAGCAGTTTAGCGGAAACAGGGCTGCTCTTATCTGGGGTGGCGTGAAGCGTAAGAGAAGTATAAAGTGCATATTATCGTGAGAATGGGTCAAGCTTAATGTGCAGTGATGGCAGAACAAGCTAAAGAACAGAAGCCTAATGATGTTAGTACTGACAGCAAACAAAAGCCCTAAAATCATGATCGAAAGAGTGATATGCAAACTTATGTAGTGGTGAATACATTCACGGCCATGTTAATGTTGCTAAATTAACCCTCCATTCCCAACTTTTCCCATTGTTTTTCTTATAAATAATCACAAAACATTGATAAGTCTATACAAAATGAGTGCTATAGTTACGATGCTGAATGTGACCATGACTATGAATGGTTTTGGTTTCTGTGGCCTAGTTTTCATGGACAACAAAAACTCCAGCTTGGTCTTAGCAAAACTAAAAATAAAAAGGTAAAAATGTGAAAAAGCTAATTTAATAGCTCGAACTGTTGTTGCCATGCAAAGTTTTGTCCTCATAATGAATGCACATTGCCTAATTGTTTTTTTTTTGTACGATTTTTTGTCTTCGCTATAACATCTATCTTCACAAAATACATATTCAGAACTATAAAAGGCTGACTTAAGAATGCTGATAACTTATAAAACTTTAACCATGCTAAGCTAACTCGGCAGTCTTTTAGCCCCAGGGATGAGTTAATGGCCACATGGCACCCTGCTTTTGTTTGGCCTACGAGATGAATCCCACCCTTCTTTTTTACAAGGACTAGTTAGTTTAAGGGGTAGAAAACTCTCAACCTTATAGTGCTAATGTCTATTTTTTGCTTCTCTAGTCACCCCGCTAGTTATATCTTAACTGTGGCTTATTTGGCACTTTTCACATTTTTTTCTTTTTTTAAATTACAAAAGTATGTCTGCTCTTAACTAATGGTGTTTAAATCACATTTAAATCTGTAAAGATCTATTTTGGCACAGGTTTATTTAATCCATTGATATAGCAATTACTTCATTATCAGTGTAGCATTTAGTTACACCTCTTACGACTACCACATCCTGCTAAATGACTGACCAGATATGTTTTTTTAATCTTAAATTTTAGTACATTACTTATTCAATAGCAGCATCTTCACAACTTAAAAAATAGTATATGCAAATCTACTCAACATCTAGGTAAATCCAAAGCTCCTACACAGACAGAATAAAAGGACAAGACATGACGACATGCTACTACGTATATTGCTTTCAGTACTCATCACATTTGATCTATTTTCGCAGTTACTAACAAAACCAACCCCCCCCCCCCCCATGTACTTTTAGTCCTGAATACAAAAACAACAAAACAGAAAGCTGCTCCTTGACACTATGTTGGCACCTTTTTATAGTTTTCACATTGAATTCTCACAGTAATATCTTGTATTTTATGTGTCTTAGATCAAACGGCGATGTAACCAAGGTTTTTTTTATTTATTTTTTTTTTACAAAAAAATTATCTGGGGGATCTACTGAGACTCGTTCAAGCTCTGAAGTGTCTGATGAAGTACTGCATCATGGGTAAAACCAAACACATAGATGCACTCTAAAATGCGGAGGCGCTCGATTGCCATCACTTCCTCGTCTTGATCTTCAAATCTGAACTATTATGCCCTACTGTTTGAAAATTGCACCTCAAAAAAAAAAAACGTGCAACTATCTTATAGTAGAGTACCTTGAGTCATTGCTGTTTCAGTCGCTTGTTAGACCTCCTCACCTTGGGCCCAACTGCTAGACACATTCATATCTATCCAAACCTATCACCTTTACACGCATATATACACACACATGCACACCATACAAAACACATGGATGGCTCATAGTAAGTCTCTTTTTGAAGGTGTGATGTGTGCAATCATGATCTACTGCAAGCTTCTAGTTCTACTCTGTAGGCGCATCTTCCCTTTCACACCATCATTGTTTCGTGAAAGGGCAAGCAGACATGCACTGTTACACCAGACATCGCCACCCATGGAGAGATGTGAGAGAAAAGGGGGTCTCTGGGTTGATGTGTCAGAATGGGGGTGCACGAAGGTAAAAAAGGGTGTTGAGAAGAGGTGAGGGGAGGTGATGATTTTTAGATGAGAATAAAGAAGCCTCCTTACCAATCGGTTCAGATTTACTCTCCCTGGTGCTCCAATAGCAAAGGAGAGGAAAGAATCATTACTTTAGTCATTGGGAGAGAGAGCACAAACTCTGTCTTTTTCTGTTGGTCTAATTATTCTTTGGGAAATGCTCTCTGTGCTAAAGTCTTGTGGTTTCGATGAGTTTGGTATTTTTCAGCTCATTCCAGCCGGTAAAGAATCAATAACAGTTGTTTAGACACAGAATAGTTTTGGAGGACACCTAAAGTTTAAGCGTACAGAATATACCATCCTCTGCCCCTTCACGATAAATATACACGGCCAGCTGGCGGTTAGTTAGTGCACACTTGGAAAGTTAAGGTTGGATACTGCAACATGATGCCAAAAAAAAAACTTGTCTGACCTCAACCTAACAAACCATCCAGGCTTCCTTTCCACCCTACGGTAAGCGATACCTTGACTCCATGGAGGTTGTTATGAATATGAGACGTTCCACATGAGTACATTCCATCATGGTGATGCTTCGATGCAATAACGATATAGAAACCCTGACTTTTTTTGGCCTTCCATCACGGCCTCCACACTTCAACAGTGCATTAAGACGAAATTCAGTGTACTCAGATTCAAAACAAAAAGGAAATAGGACCTTATTAGCAGCACATACGTCGCACATGGGTAGTTCGGATCTGCACAGAAAGATCTTCACATGGGTAGCCCGTTCTAGAATTAGATTTACTGGTGACTCAGGATGTATAGCCACAGTAGAACACACAACCTGGGATTTCCAGAGAAGACCATGTTACTAAGCAGCCTGTGCAGATCAGAATTTGTTCTTAGTCTTTCAGTAGTATGTGTTCATGAAACGCCTCAGAGCTCTGAGGGCCAATTTTCTGATTTGATATGGAATATCTACGCAAATTTTCCAGCAGATTTGTGCAGATACTCGACTGCAGCGGCTCAAAGTGCACAGTCTCTCGCGCTGCAGAGGGGCAGCGTAGAGTAAAGACGGGGATATGTTTTGGGAGGTTACAGAAAGGGATGGGCTTTTATATAAAGTCGTATTCTGATACACTCCCTTGGACTTGTGCAAAGACCTACATTCTCATTCAGTAGATATGTGAATAAATTGTCTAGTCCCACTGTGATTTCAAGTCTGTGTTTAGTTGCATTTTCAGCATTTAAGTCTGGTAATAGTTTGCTGAGGGTGTGTGTTTGTGTGTTTTTTTGTATTAATATCACTGTACAGTACATCTGCCCCTATTCTCTGTTGGTGCCGATGGTGTAGTTATCACTGGACGTTAAATAACACATATATTACATGGACACACGATTCAATGTACTTAAATAAAAAACTAAATCCAAAATATTGTCTTTACATTCATGTCAACCTGAATTCACAGATTAAGAAAAACAAAAGAAAATACTTCAGTCCTTATGGGTGAAATCATATTAATAAATAACGTTGATGGAGATGATAATTTGTAATAATAATAATAATAGTAGTAGTAATAATAATAATAATAGTATTTGTATAAACACCAGACCTCGAATCCCATAGACAAATGCCACAATTTCTAGGAGCTCTGGTACGAAAGATTCAGGTGCGTTTTGCGTCCTGGCCTATGTCCGCAACATGATCTACAAGCTTCCCTTATGCTAACAACATCGGTAGTGGCATGCACCTGGTCCAACTGGAACCCCAGGTCAATGTCTAGTGGCGCTGAGAGACCCTGCAGCAGCCTCGCATCCCCTGCCCTATCCTGCCCGGTGCGGGGCAGGGTCGGGCCGGCTGGGATCGGGAGGGCTGGGGTGAGGGGGGCTGGGGTGGGATATGGGGTGTCACAGACTGGGGGGGGATAAATAATCAGTCTCAGGCCCTCTTAAAGAGAAGGGCGAAAGTGTGGGAGTTAAACTAAGGACTAAAAGATTAAAGAACAAAAATCAGTCAGCTAGGAGGGGATGGGGGTGGGGAAAGGGCTGATTCCTGGGATTGCTCCACCCCATTGTCCCCCATCCGACCACCTTGCCCACCTGCTGGGAACTGCAGCGAGGCAGCATGCCAGGTTGAAATGCCATTCACTGCTGTCCAGAAAATGCACAAAAAAAAAAAAAAAATCAACCAATAAAAATCCAGAACTTAAGGATTAAACCCATATTTACATTTTACACATTTTTCTTTTTCAAATTTTCCACTTTGAGAGGAATTATTTCCATCTTTTTTTTTAATACTGAGATTTTTCCCACAAAGAATGTGGCTGATTTTCGTTGATATTCACGCCCTCCATCTTTCTCTGTATCTTCCCCATCCCCCACTCTTTTCTCTCCTTTTTTCATACTCCCTGTTTTTAGCCCACCTTCTGCGGATTGGTGGCCCTCACACCCTGCTCGTATGTGATTCGCTGGCTGATAAGATATTGGGCTGCCTGTGTGGCGGCTGGCGATCCGGTAATGGTAACTTTACGGTTTCTGGTGCCAGGAACAAACTCTCCCTTTTTGGAGATCTGGATGCGGGCTCCCGTCAGTTCTTGGTACTCCACAAGTGTTTTGCCTCCCTTCCCCAAAATGGCGCCCACCAAGTTCTCCGGCACCGCAATCTCCACCACATCTTTGGCCCCCTCGGTCAGCTTCTCAGTGGCCAGTAGTGAACTCGCCATCAGCGGGGAAGCGGCGCTCAGGTAGCCGTTGGTGGCTCCGGTGGCGGCGGCGAGCGAGCCTAGCGTGAAGCCTCCCAGGCTGGTCGCGTGGTGGCCGGAGCTGGCGGACGCGTCATTGGCATAGGAGGCTAGCAGGTTGGCGGCCGCGGCTGCGGCAGGGTTAGCGCTTGCAGCCACAGCAGCGAGGACTCCTGAGGCAGCCGCAGGGTTGAGCCCTAGGCCCAGGGAGTTGGTATTGTATCCGTAGCTGGCTAACGTGTTCAGCGCGGATGTGATAGTCAGCAGGTCGTTCCCTGAGAAGCTGGACATGGTGGTGGGGAAGGCGCCCACTCCCGCCAGACTGGCCTGCCCCAGGAGACTGGAGGCCGTGGCCGCCGCCGCCGCTGCGGCAGCAGCCGGCATTACCTCTGCAGAGTTGGCGTATGGGGAACCGGTGGGATTGGAGTTGGCCACAGGGCCAGAGATGTTAGAGTAACTGATGTTCAGACAGCTGCTGCTCTGCGGGTCCTCCTGGATCTTCTGCACAATGATCTCCACAGCCTTGCGGTTCTGCTCGGGCTCCCCGCTGATAGTGACGACGCGTTCCTGCAGGTTGATGCCTTCGGGTTTCTGTGAGAGCTGGACCCAGGCACCAGACTGCTCCATGACGGCCTTCACCGTGGCTCCGCCCTTGCCAATGATCAGCCCTGCCGTGCTGTTGGGCACTATCAGCTTGGCCTGAAGAGAAGATAAGCAGAGAGGCCGGTGTCAGTTAATGAGTCACTCTAGTGAAACCGGCACACTTGTGCTAGTTTAGCATGCACCATTTCTCAGTTTTGGGATTTAAAAGTAAGAAGTATGGTTTTTATCCACTGGGAGCCCATTATTGGTAGCACAATCAATGTCTTTCTTTGAACATAACAACTATTTTTGCGCCAACTGTACCCATATGTATTGAAAACCAAAGCCTTGCTTTTAGACTTTATAGTAATTACTTTGTTTCAAGTTGCCATTTCATAATTTTCTGTATCATTAAACCACAAATCAAGTTACATCTAACAGATTAGTTTAATCTGGTAATTTAACAGAACAGCAATGTTGTGTTCTCAGCGAGTAAGTTTTAGACAATGTCTGCGAAAAACAGTTTCCTCATTGATAGAGGGAAAAAAGTGTAAACAGTGGTTACCATGGTTTCTTCCCAAACTTAGAAAGGTTTGCTCCTCTGATCAAGCAGTGACTCATGCTGGTACTATTTTACCAAAGCCTCACACAGAACATACTGATCTTGTTAAAATGTTGCTGAAAGCACTGTTACTAAATGTGTTCATTAAAATTTCTTTTTAAGGATTTCTTTCCTAAAAGTATTTGAATTTGTTTCTATGTGGGCAGTTTACATAGTATGATCTTAAGTTAAAAGTTATGTGAATGTGTAAGGGTAACTATGTATTTTAGGTGCTATAATTGGTCACCTTTTTGAGCTCATAAAATATGAAAATAATATAAAAGAATTAGAGAAATTTTGTTTCTAGAACTTTAGAATTTTCTATTACATTTTTTTTTCAGATTGTGTCACATTAGGCAGACTGTAAAATATCACATTAAAATACAACAAATGTATTAAAAAAAGTTTATCTCAGTGTTGGTATTGTTAACTAAAACTTAAAAAACATTTTCGCTAATTTAAATATATCTTAAATAAAATATACATCTTAGATAAACCTTGCCTTAGCAATTAATTAAACATGTTGGAGTACTAAAATTACAAAAAAAAAAAAAAAAAATTTAAAAACAAAACTAATAAAAATGGCAAAACTACATAACAAAATTCTTAAAAATTAAATTAAAATTTAAAATTTAAAATATTCATAAATACTATAATAGTCTATAAATAATACTAAAATGACACTGGTTTATCTGAGATACAAAACACAATAAAGAAGAATATAAAAACAAATATGAGATAGGAAACAAAAAATGATTAAAATTATATTATTAAAAAAAAATTGCAAGAGAGGAAAACTGCGGCACTGATGAGCCCAGAAAATTATGTATTAGAAGGTAAATATAAAGATGCTTGTGTGTTTTGTTCTTGTACTTCCTGAGCTGTGAATCACTAGGTAAAAAAAGGCTCCTCCTGAAAAGCATCGACTCCCAGGGGTCAGTGTTTCCATGGAAACTCAACTCCAGCATTCAAGGGGGACTGAAAGGGAGTCGGAATGATGCATAGCAACCAACCAACCAACCACCCTCCCACCCCCCACCTTATATGCTCGCGAGTCGCAACCATTCACTTAAAACCACCAGCTACTTGTGCCATAATACTGTATGTGCACACATATACACAAAAACCTAACAATACTCGGCCGTCTGTAAGAAAACATCACACACTTTTTGAATTTCGTCCGTGTAACTTGACATATTCACTCACTAATTGAACCGACAAATTAGCGCTTGATCTCTTTGATCATTGCCGGATACATCTACAAACCGTAGCATTGTGAGAAAACAAAATATGCGGTGTGGTGTTCGCTTTGACAGTTAATCACTCTGGATAATGAAAAGCTTTGACAATGCTGGATTCAGAATATTTGCAGTGTCAAAATGACAGATAGAGAGATGAAAATGATAAAAAGGGGAGACGAGAGGAGCGGGTAGATGTGAGTGAAGAAGGATGTGTGTGTCTGTGGGGGCGTGTGTTTGTATGTGTGTGTGTATATGAACAAAGCGAAGGAGAGACTAGAGGAAAGGAGAGAGAGTGTGAGAGGTTGGGGAGGGGGTGGTTATCGGCTCAGCCTTTACGTTTGTTTCTTTTGTGAGCTGTTTCGTTCTTTTCACTCTTTGCCTCAAGGTCTGCTGAAGCTCGCTGCCCACAGACATGTCTTTACAGAGGCTGTTTAGCCTTGCCACTGTAGCTCGAACTCTCATTCAGCCGAATTAGCATAGAAATGAAAAACTGCCAACAGGAAATTTCATGGACTCCTACATTCACCTTTTATTTTGTTAGAATAAACAGAACCTTGTATAAGGAACGTTTTGAGCAAAATAATTGTATTCACGATTACCGTTTAATGCAATGGATAGCAGATTGTTTTTGGCACCAGAGACGTACTGTGATTGATCAGTACATATACAGTGCAGTCCAAAGGTCTGAGACCTCCAGTGAAAATGCATCTGTTTTGCTAAATTATCTATTAGCAGATTAGACTTGTGACCTTTTGTTCAAAAGGAGTTCATAAATTGATTCACAAATTTTCAGACTTAAACTGAATCAGATTTTAATGTGCTCTCAAACTTTTGGGGCACATTTTTGGGGCTTCAAAATCTCAACCACCATTCACTGCCATTATAAAGCTTTATAATGGATATAGATATTGATATGGATATGGATATTCATATCAATGAGGATCTTTCCAAAGACAGCACGTCGCTTCAGAAGGCCTTAATTAACCCAACCAAATGTTCATGTAGATCTTTTATTAAATAAGTAGACTGTATACACACTATTATTTAATATTCCTATTTATTTTTTATTTAATAATTATTTCAACTAAAAAGACATAGTCACCTGGCTGCTATAATGCCAATATTTATTTGCTATCTTTCAAAAGTTTGAGGATGGCAAGATTTTTTTTAAACTAGTCTCTTATGCTCACCAAGGCTGCATTCATTTAATAAAAAAAAAAAGTATTAAATATTATTACAATTTAAAATAACTGTTTTCCATTTTAATGTAATTTTAATATTTCAAAATTTTAATTATTCCTGTGATGGCAAAGCTGAATTTTCAGCAGCCATTACGCCATTACTCCATTACTCCTTCAGAAATCATTATAATATGCTGATTTGGTGCTCAAGAAACATTTATTATTATTATCAATGTTGAAAACATTTGTGCTTTTGATTAATTTAATTTCTTTCTTTTTTTCATAAATAAATAAATCTTACTGACCCCATACTTTTGGACGGTAGTGTATATATATATATAGCGTTAGTCAATATATATAGACGGTAATCATTATTCGTCAATATATCTGTCAGTATATATCTGCCTATCCAAAAAGTTTTATCAACAAACACTCTTACACTTACACCAAATATCCACAATAAGATGATTCTTTTTAAAATAACTATTAGCAACTATTAGCAAGTAACATTTGTTGCTTTTAGCAGACCCAGTTCTTCCTCCTCTTTCTTTATGATACCATCATTTTCAATGATGGCATTTGGCAGAAGAAGTGCTGATAGAAATGAGCCTGTTGGGTAGGAATCGAGCAGCGTTGACACATATGCAGGTTAATTTCACTGAATGCATCCAAGTGCTGAGCTAGAGGAGGTGGATGCCTGCTATGTCTATCTATAAAAGAGTGAACGGAAGAGGGAGGCTGAGGCAGAGAAATAAAGAGTGCAAGACGGAGAGAGAGAGAGAGAGAGTGAGTGAAAGAGAGAGATGCCTGCTGCCGCTGCGCCACCAGTCATCTGGGTCTAGAAGTCTTTGATGAATTGTCGGGAGGATGCTGCAGGGGGTTGTGGGTAATGGGCAATGAAAGATTGGTCAGCCATGAAGGACATATATGTACTCCTTATGCAGACTGTGTTACTTTGTTCTATTACTGCTACAAAAAAAAGGAAAATAATGAGAGCAGCATCTGAGACTAGCAGAAATTAATCAAAGGATACGGTCTCGTTCTGTGTGGGTTTTTGCTGAACGGGCCGATGAGGCCCCAGGAGTCTGTATCCGGGTGCACATTATAAAAACCATTCCGCCTGTGAAAAAAGCAATTCAAACTCTAAACTTCCTCTAAACTCTTTCTACTGATGCGGCAGCAAAATGCACCCAGTCCTGAAGGTGGCAGGGGTCTCAAACAATGGGGGTCCTCCTGGATCTTCTGCACAATGATCTCCACAGCCTTGCGGTTCTGCTCGGGCTCCCCGCTGATAGTGACAACGTGTTCCTGCAGGTTGATGCCATCCCAAAAAAATCGGGCACGCAGCAACTGCCCCCCCCCCATCCCAACCTCTGTCCCCGGAACAGTGCCTGACTCTAGAGCCTAGCACTTTGAAGTCTTAAGCGCTTGCCTTTGGGTTAATCGCCTGTCTCCTGATCCCGGGCTTAGCCGCCCATCTCTGTACAGCATCTGCCTGTGTGCTCTGGCTGCTGGCATTGACAAAGAAAAAAAAAAAGACTCCACACGAGTTAAAAATAACACCCTGTCCTCCTCCTCCTCCTCCTCCTCACCTTGGTCTTATGACTGTAGTGAAAGGTTGTTGTTTGCTAGCGAGGGTCCTGTACGAGTGGTTGACTCTCAATTTTCACTCCCTATAATTCTTTCGGTCAGGCTGTGTGAGAGCTTGTGATATGGCTGATTTTCATTGTCGTTTTCTATTTTGAGCACAAGAGCAAAATGCAACAAGCTTCTCAATGAGTGTGTAGCGCCTGTAAACTAATTTCACCTGTACACTGTAAAAAATATATTTTCGACATTGTAAATAAAAGATTACTAGAGTATGTTTTAAAAGAAATTACTATTTCAGTCTTTATACTTCAAATGCACATTTCTTTTAATGTTTCTTGCTGTAATTATTTGTGAAATTTACTAGCAATTTCTGAGTGAAAATTGTTTCTACACCAATTTATTTCAGCTTATTAAATCATGTTACTAAATTTCATTTTTTCCTACTTTTAGACATGATGGTGGTAAAAAAGAATATATTTGGAGACATTTCAAAGCAATAAACAT